TATCGACTGATGCAAGCTTCAAGTGCGACCTTGTTTGGTGGCACTGGCCACATGTCACTCCAACCCATGGTCTTAAAGCTGAATTCCGTGGAAATTCACTGGCTTTTTGTGGTGCCGCACTGGTCATTTTACACGACCGACAACACCTGTCTCTAGATGTCTATGTCAGTCATTCCTCGTGTTCCAACCTAACTTGTTTTATCTTAAGGTTAGTTGATTTTATTTTATTTTAGTTGAGGTCTTAACAAAAAGTTACATTTTAGAATGAATTGAGTCTTGACGCGCCATGGCTACTTGTATTTTTGATTTGATTTATTTGTGGGTTTTTAATTATCTTGGGTGCATGCTAGAACATCCTGACCTAACCAACTTTCAGCTTGATACATTATTTCATGAATTTATGAGACGAGGTCTAAGGGCATTCCATAGCGTCTGCGTTCGATAACTTTTGGTCTTATGACTACCTGCTAGAAGCTATAATCGGTAGACTGCTCCGATAGGCGATGCAAACAGCAGTTCTCCAAACAGTGAACAAGAAACTAGTTTTTAGATGCTATAACCCCCCTTTTCCCCAAAAATCTAATATGGATAGCAATGTTTTGTTCTGTCTTAGCTGACACACGTTTCCTTATTAATGACATAGTTAATGAGGTCTAATATTGGGCTACAGATTGGTTAAAAATGGCCCATCCCCTCAAGCATTTTAAATTCTCAGCTAAGTCTAACCTTATCCTCATCAACCTTTTTCCCTTCTTCAGAGCGCTTCATGTGTTTGGAGACCACTCCATACCACAGCAGTCAGCCATGCCAGTGGACCTTGCCATACAACTGTGTCTGAGCCGGAGTCCTCCCATCTGTCACCTACTGGGTGTGTCTCCTCTAAAGGCCCTGAGACCTCCCTTTCAGACAATAGATTTCCAGACTCTCAGGGCAGGCCTCCGCACTGCACCGCCCTCCTCTTCATCCTCTTCCTCCTCACCAGAGTGGTCAGAGTCTAGGAGCTGTGTCCACAGGAACAGTGCCAGCCCTAAGAAGAAGCGCGTGGTGTTTGCTGATACTAAGGGGCTGTCTCTCACTGCAGTGCGACTGTATATCCCAGACAACTCCTTGTCCCCTTCCACAGCCCAGGGGGCTGACTCCTCTTCCTCCTCCTCCACCCCTAGACCCTCCTCTTCCCCCAGACTGCAGAGCCTGTGGCCAGGTCCAGCCGTTGGGCAGCAGCGCTGGAGACTGCGTCTAGCCTTCCCCCAACCCACAGCAGACTTTACGACATTCCACGCCCGTCTGCAGGAGGCCCTGGTGCAGCTGGAGAGCTGCAGCGTGACCGAGCGCTCCCTGAGTGGCACCGTGCGTGTCTGCAATGTTGGCTTTGAGAAGTCTGTGCACGTGCGGGTGACCTTTGACTCATGGCGGAGCCACCGTGACATCGCCTGCTCCTACCTGCAGCAGCGCTACAGTGACTTTAAGACTGATGCGTTTGCCTTTGACGTCCCCCTCCCCCAGAACCTGGATCCCAGCAAGCGTCTGGAGTTCTGTGTGTCCTTCCGGCCAGGCAGCGGGGCCACACCGCGTTGGGACAACAACAAGGGACAGAACTATAGGGTGTGTGTGGCTCCTGACGGGTCAGGTTACAACCAAGCCCCCGTTATGGCGCCGTATCACCACCCCCTGCCTCCTCCCGCGTCCCCCTAATGGCCAAGGAGCGGGGGAACCAGCCTGAAGAGCCCCATGTACCCTGATTTCTCCCACCCCTCAGAGGCCTTTATCAGCCAGAATTGGGGGTGACTGGAGAACTTTCTGGTAGAGGGAATTGCCCCAAGTCTGGTCAGGAAATGAGCCAACTTTGCCAATCTGATTCTGGCTGCCTGATCTTGGCAATGGAGCTGGACAAACTCTTGCCAAGAATATATGCAATGTTTAAACCTGTTTGAATTTGAATAGAGGAAGTGCATCACTAAATGTAATTGACTCAACTGAAATGGAATTGAACCCGTCTGATGGTAGAGGTTTGGAAGACCACAATGTTTGCTTTTGTAGTGGCCCTTAATTCTACTGCTTAACTGGGCCCCAACTAAAATGTGAAATAGATTTGCACTACTCGTGTACTTTTCATAGAATACAGCCCTGTGCTACCCATAACTTATTCCAGATCACCCAGAGGGGAGTTTCCTAAGCACCAAGATCATAATTTTATCTTATTTATTGGTTTTCATAGTACTAAGGGTGTGTTTAGAAGCAGCCCAATTCTGAATTTTTTTTCACTAATTTGACAAATCAGATCCGATCTGAAAAAGATTGGCTGTGAAAAGATCTGACGTGATTGTTCAAAAGATCAGAATTGGGCTGCCTGTCTAAACGCAGCCTATGATGCTTCTTAAACTCTTCCCAGAGTTAGTTTTCAGGTGTATATTAGTACTGATTGCACACAAAGGCCCTTCCAAGAAGGCTGAATGTTCTTTATAACTGCCATGCAGACTTCTTCAACTTCAGCCATCAAAACTGGCCTTTGAACAAATTGAATGTGTGCCTTGAGTTATTAAACATTAGAAAATAATATTGTGTTCACTCTGATTATTCTGAAACTGCATGGCTAGTAAAACTGACAAATCATACCACCACCTACTGTATATAGGTATCAGAAGCCCTCTAAGCTCACCTCTAACATGGCTAGTTGGTATACAAAGGAAAAACTAATTTGAGGCTAATTCATGACACATTTGTGTGGAATCATTAACTTTCTGTCTGACTCTACCATTAATGGAATAGTCTTTTTGTGGAAAGTAGTGATAAAACTAAGCAAATGGTTTGTGCTGTATGCACCAAGTCTGGAACCAACAGGACCCTGAACAGCTTCTACCCACAAGCCATAAGACTGCTAAATAAAAGTTAGTCCAGGTAGCTATTCGGTTAACCATTTAACTATCTGCATTGACTGTGCACAAACTCTTTTGACTCATCACATACGCTGCTGCTACTAATTACTACCTGTCACTTTATTCCTAGTTATATGTACATACAGTATCTACCTCAATTACCTCGTACCCCTGCACATTGACTCAGCACTGGTACCCCTTATATAGTCATGTTATTGTTACTCATTGTGTATCTTTTATGTGTTTTTACTTTTCTATTATTTCTCTATTTTCTTTATCTGCATTGTTGGGAAGGGCCTGTAAGTAAGCATTTCACTGTTAGTCCACACCTGTTGTTTACGAAGCATGTGACTTAACGCTTTTATTTGATTGATTTAGATTTTCTAGATATGCAGTTTGTCAACGTTTCCGATTCGAAGGGCTTGTTCTTCTGCTCTTCACCAATAATGCCTTGATCACACTCATTGTGCCAAATGGTACACCGCATCATCTGCATGTGTGTGCAACAAAAGTTCAACATTCACCTTCTGCTACCAGTTCTGTCAAGCCGTCTATGCATACAATTTGATGCATACGTTTGATTAATCCAACGTATGCACCACACAGAATGCACAGACTCTGCAAGGCAAACGCAGCGTTCCATTGGAAATGAATGTACTTGTGGTGTACCAAAATGCAATGACGCTGTAGGTGTGATCGAGGCGTAAGGCTCAGTTCCCTGGGTTTCTTCCTATCTGCTACATGCATTCCAAACAGCCTGTGTCAGCAGAGGATTTTCTGGGTGGAGGAGTGATACACACACTGGCATGCCTCCCCATGAGCCTCCTTGACTGGCACGCCCACCTGTCGTCCTCGGTCTTGTCGACAGTACTCGTGGAATGCTCTAGAGCCCCAAGCAACATGAACATCAACTAGGCACAGCATTCGGTTGGTAACCATGGCAGCCTTAGAGCCCGTGTTTACATGCAAAGGTGGAGGTCACCGTGTTGGGGATAGGGAGTGATGTGGTGACAGTGTTAGTCTGCCTTTCATTTACATTTTACTCTCGCTTACTCACTCCTCCCTTTTGTCTTACTCACGCCCTTTCTCTCTAGGTCTATAATGTCCTGGGACCGATGCTTTTGTGAATAGTTCCAGGTAGTTGAATGAAGTCAACCTGAAACTATTGTGTGTGTGTGTGTGTGTACTGTTCTCGCATTGTATGGTCATCATGAAAGGTAATGCCATGTGTCCCACCTTAATGCTACTCACATTCCTGACCCCACCCTTATTGCTAGCACTTCACTGTGGTGACAACAGGAGGAAGAGAGGGAATGGCTCTTTTGTCTGGGATGGCCTGAGCAGACGAACAGAGAGCTGGTCATGTTGTGTTCCACAGTTTGGCAGGTGTACACACGTTTTGTGCCTATTCCTCTCAAAGTGCCAGACTTGTCACTAGTAGGAAATATGAAGACATTGGTTCACTACTGGTGGTTTGGGCTGAATGTTGCCCTGTAGAGCAAGGTTTCTCAAACTTTGTCCTGGAGCCCCCCCTTGATGCACGTTTTAGTTGTTGCCCTAGCACTACATAGTTGATTCAAATGACCAACTTATCATCAAGCTTTGAATATTTGAATCAGTTGTGTAGTGCAAAAACCAAAATGTGCACCCAGGGGGGCCCCAGGACTGAGTTTGGGAACCTGCTGTAGAGAACAATATTTGAATTATAATCTTCTTCCCTCCCTTTCTTTACTTCCAGAGTGACCAGTTATCTAACTAGAGAAAGACAGTGACACTGGTGTCAGTTTCTCAATCTGTTTTATTCAGTTTAATTTACATTTACATTTTAGTCATTTAGCAGATCTGTTACTCCGTTTATCTTCCACACCATCTAAACGAGAAACAAATCCCAGAGTAGAACTAGCTGTGATTCATGGAGTGACGGGCTGGTAGGTCACAACCAGATATAGGAAACGACCGGTAGCAAACCCCAACAGGTGACAACCAGATAGATTAAACTCAAAAGGCATTGCATGAGTCACAACTTGAAAAAATGAGGTGGTTTTAGCGGGGGGAAAGCAATTCAACAAGTCATACATTGCACTGAAGGTGCTATCTGAACTATGTTTTCAGGTTCCTCTGTGGGCCTTACTGGCAACTGCTACTGGGAAGGTGCTCGTGCTCAGGGTTCCAGGGGCTCCTGGCGAAACAGTCCGCAGCCTTCCTGTCACACTCACAGATGAACATCTCACATCCGTCATTGTTGCCTGAGGTTGTGAGAGAAAGAACGATAAGGAGGGTATAGAAAGAGAGTGAAATGGAGAGAGCAAGGTAAAGAGTGTAATGAATATCGTGGGCAGTACTGTATGTAATGTAGTATAAAGCTAATCATTGTGGTGTATGAAGTGAGGGGAGGGGACTCTTTGGAGGTACTCACTCTTGCAAGTGACCTTTCTGAGGTTCTTGTCACAGTCGTAGGCATAGGACTCAGTGTAAGGGTTGTCAATGATGGGCCAACATTCATCGTGCTGCATGGCATCAGAGTAGCACCGGTCATGGACCTCACAGCACCTGTAGGATGATGCCATAGAACACACCAACTCTGAGACAAACTCATACTTACACACACTGCCAGAACTTTGGCAGCAGCAATAAGCAACAAAGAACTCAAACTTTCAAGGAAAACATTAATTGATGTCAAGTCAACATAGATTCATTAGTGGTTGGGATAGTGTGTGGACTGGAGTGGTTTTAGCCCTATTGACATATTTATAACCATTGTCCCTTGACCCTTAACCCCTAACCTGTCCAGTTCGTCCACAGGGGTACCAGAGCCTCCCTTGCCACAGTAGCAGCCGTAGTCAGCATAGTCGAAGATGGGCCAGCTATCAGGCATAGTGCAGAGGATCATGTTTCTGAACTGCCACAGGGCCCTGTAGTTAAGGTTGGTTGCCTGGGCTGTAAGAAAGGTTTGAGTTTATTGATTCTTGTTCACAGAAAACTGAAGAAATACAGAATTTACACAGGCTAATAGTTTAAATAATTTAAAATGTTTTTTAGAAAATGAGAACACTCAAATACAAAATAAATTGCATAAATAGAACACAAGACACTTAACATTAGAGGGAACATAAGTAAAGATGGAAACTGATTGTTAAAATGTGATTGTTAAAGATGATTATAAAGTATGAGCCAGAGCAGATGAGTGAGACACTAATGCTGCGTTTAGATAAAAAATAATAAAATAAATTTAGACGAGGGACGCAAAACTGTCATACCAGTCAGCATAGCGGGATAAAGAACGCAAGAAAGATGGTGACGGCAAAAGCAAGCCAGCGCAATAAAACAGATATTTCACCGGATGTATAAATATGACGCAACCACTTGGCGTTTCCATTCACTACCAAATATAGTAGTGAGAGGGAGGAAGCCCAGTGGCCGGCAGTGGGAGAAGATGGATTTTGGCAAACATTCTGCACATTTTCTCATTGATGAAACATTTGATCTCAATATCGTTTTCTGTTCCCAAAACTAAAATATGTAACGAACAGAGTGGATAAAATTTTGTAGACTTTACCCTTTGCTAAAGTTTCAAAAAATTGCATTTTTTAGGAGTGCAAAGGTGAATTTAGTTATTGCATACGCGCACTTCACAGAGTAGGCGTACCCTAACGGAAATATGCCGTCTACCTCGTACCATGTAAACGCAGCATAAGATTAGTAAAATCTGTGTATGTAAAGATACGTACAAATCTGTCAACAATTTACCCCTTTTCAATTGACGACATATTCACAAATATTGGATTATGCTAATGATTATGTTGATCAAGACCTATCCATGACAAAATGCAATTGAAACTGTTGCAGGTAAATTTGCCCGATTTATAATTAGATTGTATGAAGCTGCTACTCACCAACAGAGAGGCCCAAAGCCACAAGGAATACTGCTTGGAGGGTGTTCATGTTGCCAGCCAATGAGAAGTGAGTTTCTGGACCTAAACCTCTGCATTGGGGTCTATTTATATTTCCTGTAACTCAGCGACCTTGAGGCTCTTTCACAGACAAACCTTGGGTCTCCCATATATGTTCATGGTCCGCAGGTACATAATACCTGGCAGCATTTACCATATGTGGCAGCATATGCACAGGCACATGGAAAATCCCACGTTCTGGTGCTCTGGTGATTTGGATTTCATGTACTTTAAATAAAATTGGTATTCCGTTACATATAATTATCTTATGTCATTATTGTGACTGTCTTATGTAGGTCTACTCATAGTACAATTTGCATTCGGAAATTGTGTTGCCATTGAGACAGATTAGTGCACAAATATACAGTAGGCATTCCCAGAATATGTGCAGTGTTTGTGATTTTCCATGTATTTGCGTATATAGTGACAATAGCAATGTGTGTGTGCACGATGCTCAGCATATGGAAAAACATACATTTTATTAAGGCCACAGAGTTGTGTATACAGTCAGGTCCAAAATTATTGGCAAAAAGACTGTATAAAATACACTATGACCAAAAGTATGTGGACACCTGCTCCTCGAACATCTCATTTGGAGAACACATTGGGAGGGATCTTAGACCATTCCTCCATACAGAATATTTTCAGATCCTTGATATCCTTCGTCTGCGCTTATGGACTGCCTCTTCAATACAAACCTCAGGTTTTCAATGAGGTTCAAGGTTTTTGGCTAAAATGTCCTGGGGCCTCATTGTCTCCCGAGTGGCGCAATGGTTTAAGCCACTGCATCGCAGTGCTAGCTGTGCCACTAGAGATCCTGGTTCGAATGGGGCGGCGCACAATTGGCCCAGCGTCGTCCAGGGTAGGGGAGGGAATGGCCGGCAGGGATGTAGCTCAGTTGGTAGAGCATGGCGTTTGCAACGGCAGGGTTGTGGGTTCAATTCCCACGGGGGGCCAGTATGGATTTTCTTTTTTTTTTTATAATAAAATTATCACAAAAAAATTGTATGCACTCACTAACTGTAAGTCGCTCTGGATAAGAGCGTCTGCTAAATGACTAAAATGTAAATGTACATTTATCAAAGGTGCTACTTGGTATTTTTACTTAAGTACTTTACACCACTGATGATAGATTAATGCAATGCTTTTACTATAAAGGAGAACTTTCCACCCCTACTATTGTCCACGGTGGTCTACGAACCCACAACCTTATGGCTCGCAGCCCTGTGTGCTATCAAGCATTCATCCTGTAATGCTTACAGGATGAAGAACAGTTTCTAAAACTGCATATCTAACGTTCTGGTCTGTCCAGAAAGTGAAGGTAAATGGTAGACATGTTCTCTGCTATCCACTTTGTTTTAATTATTATTTTGGGTATAGGGGAGTGTCACTTGTTTTGTTTTTGTTTTTTCAAGCATTCAGGGAGGGTTTAGGTAAAATATATTTAGCTGATGGGAGGGCCATCCATTTTCATTTCAGAGAGGTCCGATTTTCTCCATGTAACCCTTATTATAAATAACATTCACTCCCCAACGAGAATTCCCACTCTGTGTAGGCCTATGTGCGGTGAACGTGTGTCTCAAAGTGCATAAAATAAATACAAATCAAATAGGATTTTTTTTTAGATACATAGATGTTGTGGTTGTATTAAGAAAGAGATGGTGTGACTTGTCTGGGAAGAGGGGCTGCAAGTCCTCCTGCAATCTCTGCCCAAGGTCTCTGCGTCCTTTTCACCCCCAAAACGTGTACAGGAAGAAAATGTCCACATTGCTTGGGGGAGGTCTTTTTTAAACCTGACATATGGCTATCTTCACACTTTTAGAATGCCATCTGGCTCATTCCCCTGTGCATGTGCATCAACAATATGTAACCAAATACTTGAACTTGAAAGGATACTAGCATGATAACACTTAAATAGATTGACAATACTGTGGAAATCAAATCAAACGAAGGGGAGGAATAAATTCTGATTAGATCTCCCATATGTGACACTCAAATTGATAGTCAAGGGGCTATCAATTTAAGGCTATGCCTATCTAGGGGCTTTATTTCCTATATATACTGGTAAACCCTTTCAGAGATATTTCAGAGAAGACAACACACAATCAGAATGCTATAAAATCAATTATCTTTATTGGGATAGAAATCTAGCACAAAGAAATAAATGTACACAACATGGTCCAAAAGGGTTACATTAAGAGCTTCATTTAATCCATTTACATTTAGCAGAGGCTCTTATCCAGAGAAACTTACAGGATAAATTAGGGTTAAGAGCCTTGCTCAATGGCACAGATCTAGTCAGCTCAGGGATTCGAACCAGTGACCTTTTGGTTACTGGCCCAATGCTCTTAACCGCTCGGCTACCTACCACGATCTCCCACTCTACTGTCTGTCTCTACTGTCTGTCACCCCTCTGAGTTCGTCCCTTGGATTCACATGTAGGGAGCTGTTTTGACCATATATAGTCATTTAGAAAATATACACAGCACTATCTAATGGAAGAGAGTCCTATTCATCTACTTAGCTACTACTATTTAAATAAAACATTTGCACTGAAACACAAACTGATATAGCTGGTGAAGCATAATGGTAAAATACAAAGGCCAGGCACACTGGCCAAATGGCAAGTAACAGGCTGAAGAGCAAAGCACAATGAAAGGCGGAAAAAACCCACTGGCAAAATCAATGATTACTGTACAGCAACACTGGTCCTTCCATCCTAGATCAAACATTGTATGTAGTAGAACACTATGTTCTACTACTTCCTGTTTGTTTGATGATGGGACTTCCTGTCATCAGGCAAAAGTTGAGTATCTCTTACAGGCCACAACACAACCCTTAGGTATGATCAGTCAGAATTCCCCACCACCCCACCACCACATAGTGCCCTCTAAGCTCATCACTAAGCTAAGGATCCTGGGACTAAACACCTCCCTCTGCAACTGGATCCTGGACTTCCTGACGGGCCGCCCCCAGGTGGTAAGGGTAGGTAACAACACATCTGCCACACTGATCCTCAACACGGGGGCCCCTCAGGGGTGCGTGCTCAGTCCCCTCCTGTACTCTCTGTTCACCCATGACTGCATGGCCAGGCACGACTCCAACACCATCATTAAGTTTGCCGACGACACAACAGTGGTAGGCCTGATCACCGACAACGATGAGACAGCCTATAGGGAGGAGGTCAGAGATCTGGCCGTGTGGTGCCAGGACAACAACCTCTCCCTCAACGTGACCAAGACAAAGGAGATGATTGTGGACTACAGGAAAAAAAAGAGGACTGAGCACGCCCCCATTCTCATCGACGGGGCTGTAGTGGAACAGGTTGAGAGCTTCAAGTTCCTTGGTGTCCACATCACCAACGAACTATCATGGTCCAAACACACCAAGACAGTCGTGAAGAGGGCACGACAAAGCCTATTCCCCCTCAGGAGACTAAAAAGATTTGGCATGGGTCCTCAGATCCTCAAAAAATTCTACAGCTGCACCATCGAGAGCATCCTGACTGGTTGCATCACCGCCTGGTATGGCAACTGCTTGGCCTCTGACCGCAAGGCACTACAGAGGGTAGTGCGTACGGCCCAGTACATCACTGGGGCAAAGCTCCCTGCCATCCAGGACCTATATACCAGGCGGTGTCAGAGGAAGGCCCTCAAAATTGTCAAAGACTCCAGCCACCCTAGTCATAGACTGTTCTCTCTGCTACCGCACGGCAAGCGGTACCGGAGTGCCAAGTCTAGGTCCAAAAGACTTCTCAACAGCTTCTACCCCCAAGCCATAAGACTCCTGAACAGCTAATCATGACTACCCGGACTATTTGCACTGCCCCCCCACCCCATCCTTTTTACGCTGCTGCTACTCTGTTAAGTATTTATGCATAGTCACTTTAACTCTACCCACATGTACATATTACCTCAACTACCTCAACTAGCCGGTGCCCCTGCACATTGACTCTGCAACGGTACCCCCCTGTATATATAGCCTCCCTACTGTCACTTTATTTTACTGTATATATAGCCTCCCTACTGTCACTTTATTTTACTTCTGCTCTTTTTTTCTCAACACTTTTTTTGTTGTTGTTTTATTCTTACTTTTTTTGTTTAAAATAAATGCACTGTTGGTTAAGGGCTGTAAGTAAGCATTTCACTGCAATGTCTGCACCTGTTGTATTCGGCGCATGTGACCAATAAAATTTGATTTGATTTGATTTGAAACTCCTCTATCCTTCCTATGTATAACTAGTCTGCTAACTAGTGCTCATCTATGTCTATAACATTTTACATTTTAGTCATTCAGCAAACAGACAGCAGTCATTGAACAAGAGGAAAGGCAGACTGAGGAAGATTTGGGTGATAGAAATCATTCTGAACTGAGATATATACAGGTGTAAAGGTGTAGGCTGTGCTGTGAGAAGCTGTGGTGTCTGTGGTGGGAAGGCAGAGGCTGAGAACCCACAGGCCTGTGGTCAGATAGGCGTATACAGCATACACCCACAGGCCTGTGGTCAGATAGGCTTATACAGCCACAGGCCTCTGGTCAAATAGGCTTATACAGCATACACCCACAGGCCTGTGGTCAGATAGGCTTATACAGCATACACCCACAGGCCTGTGGTCAGATAGGCTTATACAGCATACAGCCACAGGCCTCTGGTCAAATAGGCTTATACAGCATACAGCCACAGGCCTCTGGTCAAATAGGCTTATACAGCATACAGCCACAGGCCTCTGGTCAGATAGGCTTATACAGCATACAGCCACAGGCCTGTGGTCAGATAGGCTTATACAGCATACAGCCACAGACCTCTGGTCAGATAGGCTTATACAGCATACAGCCACAGGCCTCTGGTCAGATAGGCTTATACAGCATACAGCCACAGGCCTCTGGTCAGATAGGCTTATACAGCATACAGCCACAGGCCTGTGGTCAGATAGGCTTATACAGCATACAGCCACAGGCCTCTGGTCAGATAGGCTGCTACATCAGGGTGGTGACATACTTCTTCTTGTAGCGATGAGTCGCACTAAGCACCATCACACCATCCTGAGAGGAGAGAGAGAGAAATATAGAACTCCATTAGCACATACTTGACATTTCCCTTCACCTCTCCAAAAGCAACTATTCTGGGATTCATTATGTTCCATCTTACAGACTTTGAATCAATCTACTAATGCTTCATGACTTTGATTTAATCTTGTTGATCTCTCTCTGGTCTTACCTTGATGGACAGAGCGTAGAGGTGATTGAGCATGACATGGTTGGGTTCTGGGAGCAATGCAGGGTCACACTGATGAGGGAAAGCGAAAACATCTTACTCCAGTGCATGCACATTACTGTCAATTACATGAATAGCTCTGTCATGTCTTCATCATTGATATTCCTATGAGGGTTTGGATTCAGTTGTTGTCATCATCTTGTACTTACAGAGATTCCTGTGTCCTTGTTTAGGATGACCTGTAGCAGGTGAGGTGGCAGAATGGGCAGAGTCTTGAACTTTTCTTCCTGCTTGGGAATGTAGGGGTCCTGATGGTATGGTCCGGGAGGGGAGCTGGACAGGTCTAACTCAAACAGATAAATAATAATAATAATAATAATAATAATAATAATAATAATAATAATAATAATAATAATATGCCATTTAGCAGACGCTTTTATCCAAAGCGACTTACAGTCATGCGTGCATACATTTTTGTGTATGGGTGGTCCCGGGGATCGAACCCACTACCCTGGCGTTACAAGCGCCGTGCTCTACCAATTGAGCTACAGAGGACCACTGGCCTGTGGGAGGAGGGGCAAGGAGGGGCAAGTTAATAAATACAATGGGAGAGTGAACAAGATTTGTCTAGTTCATATTTTCTATTATCAGTTACCATCTAAGTGTCTAGCACCGTGGAGATATTTTCCAATACAGTAGCATAACTTGTCTTGGTTACACTCATTAGTGTTATGCAGAGCCTATAATTAGAGAGTTGGGCCAACTTTTAGAATTTTGAATATTGCTCTAATTCCAGACATTCAGTTACATAGCATTATTTAAATATTAATGGGGTGCTAACATGGCTGCCATAGAATGTTGAAGTGTCATGTAGATGCATCATTAATGCAGAAACCTCAATGGCCCAACTCTCTTAATACATGGCTCTGGTGTTATGCATGGATAAACAGGTTGTCGACACTGACCTGACATACAGTTGAAGTCAGAAGTTTACATACACCTTAGCCAAATACATTTCAACTCAGTTTTTCACAATTCCTGACATTTAATCCTAGTAAAAATTCCCTGTCATAGGTCAGTTAGGATCACCACTTTATTTTAAGAATGTGAAATGTCAGAATAATAGTAGAGAGAATGATTTATTTCAGCTTTTATTTATTTCATCACATTCCCAGTGGGTCAGAAGTTTACATACACTCAATTAGTATTTGGTAGCATTGCCTTTAAATTGTTTAACTTGGGTCAAACGTTTCGCGTAGCCTTCCACAAGCTTCCCACAATAAGTTGGGTGAATTTTGGCCCATTCCTCCTGACAGAGCTGGTGTAACTGAGTCAGGTTTGTAGGCCTCCTTGCTCGCACACGCTTTTTCAGTTCTGCCGACAAATGTTCTATAGGATTGAGGTCAGGGCTTTGTTATGGCCACTCCAATACCTTGACTTTGTTGTCCTTAAGCCATTTTGCCACAACTTTGGAAGTATGCTTGGGGTCATTATCCATTTGGAAGACCCATTTGCGACCAAGCTTTAACTTCCTGACTGATGTCTTGAGATGTTGCTTCAATATATCCACATAATTTTCCTTCCTCATGATGCCATCTATTTTGTGAAGTGCACCAGACCCTCCTGCAGCAAAGCACCCCCACAGCATGATGCTGCCACCCCCGTGCTTCACGATTGGGATGGTGATCTTCGGCTTGCAAGCTACCCCCTTTTTCCTCCAAACATAACGATGGTCATTATGGCCAAACAGTTCTATTTTTGTTTCATCAGACCAGAGGACATTTCTCCAAAAAGTATGATCTTTGTCCCCATGTGCAGTTGCAAACCGTAGTCTGGCTTTTTTATGGCGGATTTGGAGCAGTGGCTTCTTCCTTGCTGAGCGGCCTTTCAGGTTATGTCGATATAGGACTTGTTTTACTGTGGATATAGATAATTTTGTACCTGTTTCCTCCAGCATCTTCACAAGGTCCTTTGCTGTTGTTCTGGGATTGATTTGCACTTTTCGCACCAAAGTACGTTCATCTCTAGGAGACAGAACGCGTCTCCTTCCTGAGCGGTATGACGGCTGTGTGGTCCCATGGTGTTTATACTTACGAACTATTGTTTGTACAGATGAACGTGGTACCTTCAGGCGTTTGGAAAAACTCCCAAGGATGAACCAGACTTGTGGAGGTCTACAATTTTTGGCTGATTTCTTTTGATTTTCCCATGACGTCAAGCAAAGAGGCACTGCGTTTGAAGGTAGGCCTTGAAATACATCCACAGGTACACCTCCAATTGACTTAAATGATGTCAATTAGCCTATCAGAAGCTTCTAAAGCCATGACATCATTTTCTGAAATTTTCCAAGCTGTTTAAAGGCACAGTCAACTTAGTGTATGTAAACTTCTGACCCACTGGAATTGTGATACAGTGAATTATAAGTGAAATAATCTGTCTGTAAACAATTGTTGGAAATATTACTTGTGTCATGCACAAAGTAGATGTCCTAACCGACTTGCCAAAACTATAGTTTGTTAACAAAAAATGTGTGGAGTGGTTGAAAAATGAGTTTTAATGACTCCAACCTAAGTGTATGTAAACTTCCGACTTCAACTGTATCAGAGCATTTCTGTGAGTCCACCATATGTGCATCAAACACCTCAAAGTCAGTCTTCTTCACTTGGATGACGTTGTTGACTGTGCCTAGCTGGTTGGTTACAACAGGCTGGGGGACCATAAAACCAGCAATCAAACAGTGGGCTCAAACTTCAAATCTATTAGTCTTTCACTCCCATTTGGATGAAAAATAGCTAAGTAAACATCGGTTCTCCATCAGAGCCATTACAACATGTAAAACATAGGTGGTTCTGGTCCCAAAACACACTGCTCACCTCAGCTGGGTCATGGGTCCACGCAGGGGCGGTGTGTTCATTAGGGCGATATGGGCGACGCACTGCCAAACGGGAAAAGGAAGGGATTTTTTTTCTAATCAATTATATCACGGCAACAGTAGTTATCAGTGTTCTAATCTAGACGTCTGATCTGCCACTAAATGTCCAATCAGGCTAAAGTCGTGCTTCAAATGGCCCCGCCCCTTTTGGGGCGATTTCAGTCAGGTTGAAAATCGCCCCAGAAGTCTCTCATAGACTCTCATGTAAAATCTTTTTTTTTCAAATATCAGAGCTTTCAATACAATCTCTATGGGTTCCGGGAGGGCTTGCACTTACGCGCTTTCGTCATACGTAACATAACCATGAACGTAACTAAGAAAAGAGCGGGTAGCAGCGTCAATCAATTCACGTACTACTGTCAAGATGGCTAGCGTTCAGTGCAACTCGATTGTCTCTTTGAAAGAAGTTCCTTTTTGTCGGCGAACAAATCAAGATAAATTGGCAACGAAACAATTAGGACCTCCCAGACCAAATTTAATAATTCAACAGGTTTCTACTAAAGGGGGAAAGTCCTACACCCGAGGATTTTCCAAAAATTGGTACGAACGAAAAACCTGGCTAGCAGGCTGCGATGTAGCTAATGCAGTCTTCTGCTACCCCTGCTTACTCTTTCACCCTGAAGGCGGCACGGCAGACAGCACCGCTTGGACAGCGACTGGTGTAACGGACATGCACCATCTTTCAGAAAAGATTAAGAAACATGAGCTGTCAAAGACCCACATGGATAGCTGTTTGAGATTGTCTGCTTTGGGGAGAGTGAACATTGCCACTCAACTGGATGAGGGATACAGGCTAGCTGTCCGCCGCCACAACGATGAGGTTAGCAAGAACCGCCACATCCTCAGCCGGCTAATCCAGTGTGTGAAGTTTTGCGGAGTGTTTGAGTTAGCTTTGCGAGGCAAAGATGAAACGGAGGGCTCCACCAACCCTGGTATTTTTCTTGGACTTGTCAACTTTGTGGCACAATTAGATGAGGTGTTTTATGGAAATGCATATTGTTTATGCAGTGTTGAGGAATGTGAAAGAACACCCTTGATTATTTTTACTGTGATAACTGATTTTGCTTTTGTAAGCCAACACTTTTGAGATCAGTCAATAAATGCTTCTGGTATTGACTTATATGCTGCCACTGTCTTCATGTTGTTGCTGGACATATCTTTTTTTAAATGTGTGTAGGTCACCTAAATCATCAGAAAAATTGCCCCCCCCCTGAGAATTTTTTCAGGAGCCGCCACTGGGTCCACGTTCCATCCACATATAACTTATCCTGATGCTCCCCTTCAGGCAGATCCACAATCGCCACAAAGTTGTTCTGACTGAAAGATAGAACACACTGACAGTAAGCATAAGTGCATATACAGTGGGGGAAAAAAGTATTTAGTCAGCCACCAATTGTGCAAGTTCTCCCACTTAAAAAGATGAGAGAGGCCTGTAATTTTCATCATAGGTACACGTCAACTATGACAGACAAATTGAGAAAGAAATCCAGAAAATCACATTGTAGGATTTTTAATGAATTTATTTGCAAATTATGGTGGAAATAAGTATTTGGTCACCTACAAACAAGCAAGATTTCTGGCTCTCACAGACCTGTAACTTCTTCTTTAAGAGGCTCCTCTGTCCTCCACTCGTTACCTGTATTAATGGCACCTGTTTGAACTTGTTATCAGTATAAAAGACACCTGTCCACAACCTCAAACAGTCACACTCCAAACTCCACTATGGCCAAGACCAAAGAGCTGTCAAAGGACACCAGAAACAAAATTGTAGACCTGCACCAGGCTGGGAAGACTGAATCTGCAAAAGGTAAGCAGCTTGGTTTGAAGAAATCAACTGTGGGAGCAATTACTAGGAAATGGAAGACATACAAGACCACTGATAATCTCCCTCAATCTGGGGCTCCACGCAAGATCTCACCCCGTGGGGTCAAAATGATCACAAGAACGGTGAGCAAAAAACCCAAAACCACACGGGGGGACCTAGTGAATGACCTGCAGAGAGCTGGGACCAAAGTAACAAAGCCTACCATCAGTAACACACTACGCCGCCAGGGACTCAAATCCTGCAGTGCCAGACGTGTCCCCCTGCTTAAGCCAGTACATGTCCAGGCCCGTCTGAAGTTTGCTAGAGTGCATTTGGATTATCCAGAAGAGGATTGGGAGAATGTCATATGGTCAGATGAAACCAAAATAGAACTTTTTGGTAAAAACTCAACTCGTCGTGTTTGGAGGACAAAGAATGCTGAGTTGCATCCAAAGAACGCCATACCTACTGTGAAGCATGGGGGTGAAAACATCATGCTTTGGGGCTGTTTTTCTGCAAAGGGACCAGGACGACTGATCCGTGTAAAGGAAAGAATGAATGGGGCCATGTATCGTGAGATTTTGAGTGAAAACCTCCTTCCATCAGCAAGGGCATTGAAGATGAAACGTAGCTGGGTCTTTCAGTATGACAATGATCCCAAACACACCGCCCGGGCAACGAAGGAGTGGCTTCGTAAGAAGCATTTCAAGGTCCTGGAGTGGCCTAGCCAGTCTCCAGATCTCAACCCCATAGAAAATCTTTGGAGGGAGTTGAAAGTCTGTGTTGCCCAGCGACAGCCCCAAAACATCACTGCTCTAGAGGAGATCTGCATGGAGGAATGGGCCAAAATACCAGCAACAGTGTGTGAAAACCTTGTGAAGACTTACAGAAAACGTTTGACCTGTGTCATTGCCAACAAAGGGTATATAACAAAGTATTGAGAAACTTTTGTTATTGACCAAATACTTATTTTCCACCATAATTTGCAAATAAATTCATAAAAAATCCTACAATGTGATTTTCTGGATTTTTTTTCCTTATTTTGTCTGTCATAGTTGACGTGTACCTATGATGAAAATTACAGGCCTCTCATCTTTTTAAGTGGGAGAACTTGCACAATTGGTGGCTGACTACATACTTATTTTCCCCACTGTACACACTCAAAACATTGCACCTTAGGCAGGTCAACAATAATGTTATGAGTATGATGCCCTTCCCAGGGCTTTTAACCCACCTCCTGGTTAGGGGAATCTTATTGGTCCAGCTGTTGAAGGATCCAGACAGAGAGACCTCCTTTCCGGTTCCAGTCCAGCGGAACACAGTGGGGTGGTCCAGAAGGGGCCCTTTATCAGCCTCCAGGTCTGATACTCCTCTTTCTCTAGTGGAGCCTAGGAGACCAGGGAAGAGGGAGAGATTAGTCTGTGTGTGTGAGACAGGAAGAGGGAGAGACTAGTCTCTCTGTGTGAGACGGGAAGAGAGAGAGATTAGTCTCTGTGTGTGTGAGACAGGAAGAGGGAGAGATTAATCTCTCTGTGTGTGAGACATGAAGAGGGAGAGATTAGTCTGTGTGTGAGACAGGAAGAGGGAGAGATGAGTCTCTGTGTGTGTGAGACAGGAAGAGGGAGAGATTAGTCTCTCTGTGTGTGAGACAGGAAGAGGGAGAGATGAGTCTCTCTGTGTGTGAGACAGGAAGAGGGGGAGATTAGTTTCTCTGTGTGTGAGAGACAGGAAGAGGGAGAGATGCGTTTCGTGAATGTGAGAGTCACAATGACGGAGGCTTACTCCTGTAAAATCAACCTTGATATCCTCTCCATGGAACATATCGGCATCCTCTGGACTGTGCATGAGGATTTTAAGCCTGTCGCCCTCCATGGAGCGGTTGTCCCACCTGTGCCCCGTGCCGGTGTTGGTGTTCCCCATGGTCCCCTTTGTGTCACTGAGCCAAAATCACTGTGGAAAAAGGTTGGGAAAATGTTTAAACCAATGGGACAACTGTCTCAGAAAAACACATTAAGGGGCATTATGGACAGAGAATGTGGGCAGCTAGGTAATGCAGCAAGACAGTGATCCAAAACACACACACAATTTTAAATCAGATTGGCTGAAAAGCAGCAAATATAAACGATTTGGAATGGCCTAGTCAAAGTCCAGACCTAAACCCAATTGAGATGTTGTAGCAGGACCTGAAACAAGCAGTTCATGTTCGAACACAAATGCCTCGGAGTTAAAGCAGTTCTGCATGGAAGAGTGGCCCAAAATTCTTACACAGCGATGTGACAAACTAATCAACCAAAAGAAAGTGTTTGGTTGCAGTCATTGCAGCTAAAGTGGCACAACAAGTTATTGAGTGTAAGGGGGTCAATTACTTTCTCACACAGGGGCATTTGGTGTTGCATAACTTTGTTTATTAAATAAATGTAATAAGTATAAAAAAGTATTTGTTCACTCAGGTTCCCTTGAACTAATATTAGGTTTTGGTTGAAGATCTGATAACATTCAGTGTAAAATAAATATGCAAAAATAGAAAACATTCTGAAAAGGGGCATATATATTTTTTCACAGCACTGTATATATCTATCAGCAGCAGTTATTGTCATGGTCATGCAGCACACTGATATTGTGAATAGTTTCCAGGAACAGGCAACAATAATAATATCAAAAAATGCAAAATGTTGCACAGCCTGTTGTTTAGCAGCTCTCTGTCTAGCTACTGTTTGTCGTGAACCGGCGTTATCTGGCTAGCTAGCTGACTAAAACGTCGTTAGCCAGCAGCTAACTTAGCCCAACTAACTTAGCCCAACTAACTTAGCCCAACTAGCTAATGTGACGTTGTTAAGGTAGGGGAGGTATTTTCGATCTGCTGAGTGAGTGAGTGAGGGAGGGAGGGAGGGATGCTAGCTATCTACCTCTACGGCTATATCTGGTTAACGTTGACAAGAAGCACATCAACAAAGAAGGAACAGTATGTATATTGAAAAAAAAAAAAACATACCTTAGAATTGATGTTAGTTTACACCACTATATTGCTCGTTTCTTTTATTTAACAATTTTCCAACGTTCTGTTGTTGACAAACAACCTCGCCGTCATTCCAGAGTGCTCCGCCTCCTTTCTTCCATGACTGTCAGATAGCGCGTGCAGTGTCACTTTCTTACCACAAGGTGGTAGTGTCGACCTGTAATGGGCCATCGGGCTCGAAAATATTTAGATTTCTAGGACCATAATAAAGTTAGACTACCCCAGATAAATGCTATATTATAGACATTATTTCAAACATTGTCCCATAACAATGTATAATCCCTATGCTAAAAGTCAGACAAGTAGTTTTTCATGCAAGTCCTTCACCTTTACAGTGAGGATGACAGGCAGTCAGACAAACAAGAATTGTCACTTATCATCCCGTTGCTTTTAAACTTCTGATATTGTTTTTCCAACATCCTACAGCTCTCAGCAGCTTGTGAAATATCCCTCTCTCTCGCTGGCCGCCCCACCCTGAGTGGCTGGCTCTAGCTACAGTGTCTGGTGGCTCCCTGTCTTCAGTCTGTCTGGGTATCAGGAGAGCTGTAGCAGATGATTCTGTCCCTGTTTCATTCTCTCCTTCTCTGCATGTCCAGCATCCCTCCATAATACACAAACGGATACATACACACTCATCCTCGCACAGACATAGACACTCTCGTATAGGTCATGTTTAATTGAAAACACTCATCCACACACAAACACATTCTCTCATATACACATATCGACATCCTCCCACACACAAACAGATGCACACCCGCCAGTATTTCACTTTTATTTAACCAGGTAAGCCAGTTGAGAACAAGTTCTCATTTACAACCGCACAGGGAGTCCGTGTCCTTGCTGTGTCACATAATGAGAATTGAATGTTAATTTTTCTACCATAAGCCGCCTCCAACGTCATTTTAGAGAATTTGGCAGCACGTTCAACTGGCCTCACAACCGCAGACCACGTGTAACCACGCCAGCCCAGGACTTCTATATCTGGCATCTTCACCTGCGGGGTCGTCTGAGACCAGCCACCCAGACAGCTGATGAAACTGAGGAGCATTTCTGTCTGTAATAAAGCCCTGCGCCTCTACCCAGTCATGTGAAATCCATAGATTAGGGCCTAATGAATTTATTTCAATTGACTGATTTCCTTATATGAACTGTAAATCAGTAAAATCATTGAAATTGTTGCATGTTGTGTTTATATTTTTGTTCAGTGTAGTATATATAGTAACATGGCCCCATGTGTAGTATGAAAAATAAATAATGTATGCACTCACTAACTGTAAGTCGCTCTGGATAAGAGTGTCTGCTAAATGACTAAAATGTAAATGTAAATGTGTAGCATCCAGTGAGAACCATAGAGTATCTGCGTAGTACCTACAGTGAACCTCATGACCTTGTATCAAATATTAAGCTTTACTTTCTAGTTTCCTTGTCAAGCTGTCAAATGGCTTATTTTCCAGTAACAATGCTGGAATTGTTACATGAAGGGGAATTTAATTATAGTCAATTCGCAAACCCTTTCACATCAATCACTTAGGCAGATGTCCTCTATGATGGCTAAAACATTAAAGTGTGTATGTGCGTTTGTATGTGCTTGAGTGCCTGTTTTGTTGTTAAGGGTTAATGTAATCCGTTCTTAAATACTGTGTCTGTGTGTGTGTATTGGGAAAATGTGGGTGGTGGTGTTTGTATAACATTGGATATGGCTTTCAGAGGAGCACTTCAATATTTCATAAAATGAGCTCTTAAAAACGTAACCAGGTGCCCTGGAGCCAGACGACTTTATTGGGCTCACATCAAATTCAATAGACTGGCTGGAAGGAAGCTGAGGGAGGTGGGAGGTGTAGTGTTTTGTTTGTGCGGGCGGCGGGCGGGCGGGTGTTAAAATGGATGGTTTGGGGAAATGGGCAGTATGTGTGGGATGTTTTAGTTATGGGCGATTTGTAGGAAAGTGGTTAGCTTGGGAATTGTGTAAATGTACAGAACATGCTGTCACTACAGGTTTATGGGAGAGTACAGAACCGAATAACAATCACACAGGATGGGTCTTCTTGATAAGCCTGCTGATGAACATGGTGACGTGACTGATGTCTTGACCTTTCGGCGTGGCTCCATTAGGCAGGCAGACAGATGGCCAGGCCCTGCTGTCCTCTCCCCCCTCCTGCTCTGGTGATGACTACACTGCTCCTGGTTACTACTGGGAGCAGGATGGTGGTGATTGTCCAGCATCCCTGTGGTGCCCTGTCTGTCAATAACACAGCACAGCACAGCACACCCCTACAAGCTGGGTCAGTCAGCAATCCTCCCCCTGAGCTCAGTGGGACGCTTACTAACCATTACACTGAGCTTCATTCAGTCACATAAGGGGCTCTGCATAGACACACTCTGGCTTTAATGGGCCCTGAACCTGCTGTCACTCTTAGTAGTTCATTGCTGTGATAAATAATAGCATTGCTGTGAGCAAAATGTTATAAGGCTAAATCAAATGCGACTTTACACATTGGTTGAGGTGCTTCAGAGCTCAGTTTTGTGTTGACGTAGCCCTACCTGTTACTTTTTACAGAGTTGCCAGTTAACATGGGACTAGAATATCATAATCTAAGAAAGGATTCTCCCTCACTCTCTTTCTCCAAGCTTGTATCTCAATTTAGAGATGGCTACATTATCCAATATTTTATTTCTCAGCAGAACAATATTGACAAACCCTCGGGATAGTGCTCAGTGGTGTTCGTGGCAGTAGCCACACGCTGTTCATATTTTACTCCCACCACAAGGTAGGGCTCCATTCAAAACCAGACAGCCCGGAAGAATGCGGTTTACTCTGTGCCTTTCACGCTCACTGGAGCCAGCATGCACACCTTAGAGGGGTTTCAATGAGCCTCTCCACTCCACTCTGCACTCAACACACCCTGGGCAAGCTCCTTTGTTTGTCCAGTTAGCTGCTAAGGGTACAATGGTTAGTCACTACTAGCTACAGTGCTCTTGCCGTTTATTTATTTACTGTTTTGAACAGTTCGATTTATCTTGATAGAGCAGACGTCGTCTAGTAAAGACACTAAAAACTCTCAATGGCCATTTAATCTTTTGCTGCTTTAGGGAAATGGTCAGATAATGGTTTTGATGGTGTGTTAAAATGAATTATTTATGTAAAGCCATTATTTTTGTTCCTTGGGAATTGGACACTTAGCATAGAAATACGTAGTACAGAGAGTCATTTAGGAGGGTTAATGCCATTAATTTATTTCAGCACTGTCACATATTCCCCAGCCTTTACCCTCTTAGGATTCAAGTAATGGCCTATGTCAGGCCAGGATACCAGACAAGGAGACCTTCATTACATAAGCATAAACATGATAACTGTAGCACCTGGGAAAATGTATCAACATGTTCCCCTAACTAACACAAACTGTAATGTCACTTCATTAAGCCAATACATTTTATAGTTAATGTACAAGTCAGGTCTGAAGCAATGCTTATGCAAGTATCATGAATGCCTAATGCATGGGCTCCAACCTTCATCCTAAGGAGATATTATTTTCAAATGCATGATTTAAATTCCAAGAAATAATCTTCAAAGCCATACAAATCTAAATTACAGTGTTCAAATAAAAGATTGGAAAGGCAGCAGCAGATAATTCTACTTTGTCATAGCATACATATGTAGTGGTTGTACTACTACATTACAAGAGAAAATGTACTTATGGCTGAATCTACAGGCCAGATACTGGGTTAGTGTCCATTACAATAGCAAATTCACAACCTTCATCATAATCATCAAAAATAAATGGATCTTGAACAAGTGAGTGGAAAAACTGAAAATAGCTTATAGGGTACAGGAATAAATACAGCTTTTTAATGCATAATATTATATGTAATTACACTTGTATGTATGGCATTTCTTAATATATAATATTATGTATGCAGATAGCTGTTATTCCTGTTTGGTACATGTGCTGATCAGGAGCAGTTGCACGGTCAATCCTATACACTCATTAACCAAGATTTGAAGGGGCTTCAAAATCTCCCTAAATGACAGATACTATTATATGATCAACAAGTTATGATGCCAAGTGATACAATACAGTGATATAATACAGAAGCTGATCCAAATATGATGCTTTACCCAATAGCAGGATATGTGATAGCATAAGACAGTCTATCAATGTCATTCTAATCCAATTGAATTGATCATACAGAGGTTTGTAAGACTGTAACATGACAAATTGACTGTATATAGTAGTTATCATTTAGAGGAAAGTGTGCCACCCAGGATACCACGAGACTTCAAAGCATCAGTGAATTGTTGGCTTGTGTTGAAAATGGGCTGTTGCCTTTTATCCTCAGTGTTTCATGAGTGTCTATAACCAGTGGGTTGTCAGCTTGTGTTGTCAGGTTGTTTATCATTTTACCCTTAGTAAATACTTGTAGGTCATTGATTGTTGTTGTCAGTGGGTCTTTGACTGGTGATGTCAGTTGGTCGTTGATTGTTGCTGTCAGTTGGTCATTGATCTATGGTGTGAAGCAGGAGATCTGTTGATGGCTTGTTCTGTTCTGTCCTGTCCAGTCTCTGAGTGGTGCAGTATTCCCCTACAGTGCCATGGTACCGGCTCTCCACCTGTCCTCCACAGGGACTTCCAGGGGAGGCCTTCTCTCTATGATGGGGCCCGGCCCATGCAGGGTGAGGTCTTTTGGGCTATAGTGGCAGGCGGATGTGCATTGCCGAGCTGTTGGGCCGGGCAGCCAGGATGTAGATGGCACTTTCCCTCAGGAAGTCATCCCAGCTCACTGGTCTGGTGATTGGGACAGAGAGGAGGTTAGGGAGCCATATCCTCTAAACTTAGGTCAACTTAGGACAGACACACACACACACACACACACACACACACACACACACACACACACTCAGGCATGCATTCAGGCCTGCAAACACACAATTATATTTAGTAAATACCTTTTCTCATCTTTCTGAGTGCTTCTCTCACTGCTGGAGCTGGCTGGGCTGCTGTCAGATATGGGGCCAACATGGCTAATACTGCACCAGTAAACACACACAAGAAACACAGATTCACTATACACTACAATTGGTGGCATTGAGTTTCCAACATGTATGCCAAGGACAAGACACCCTTTTGATTTGAAAAGTAATTTGTTTCAGCTGTGAAGAGGTCAGGTGCAAATCTAGTGCAAAACCACATTCCCACTGAAAATATCTCAGTGGGTTATTGAAACCAAATGGCTCTCTTCCAGGCCACAGCCCAACTCATGAATTATTAAAGATAGAGGAAAAGAGAGGCTCAAGGTCTGCTCTGCATATGAACCTCATCTATGAAAGATGAATACTTGAACACTTTCTGCTACATCCTCTGTCTTGTTACACTCTCCGGTTTAATATTATGTCTATATTATGCATCGTGAGTAAGCTCTATGCAGAAGCTGTAAAACACAGCTAATAGAGCAGCTTGTTGTTGTGTCTGACCTAAAAGGTGAATTAGAATACATGCTCAGTCCTTGGCATAGGGACCAGACCCTCTCACGTCCACTTGGCCCCCCCGTGTCCTCTTAATGCTGATGAGGGAAGCCTTCTAGAGCTTCTCACAGGAGATCAAAAGCTTGTCTTTTGATCCTTCTAATGAGAGGACTGGATATTTCTTATCTAGAGCTCAAACCAACATGGAATCATCATATGAAGGGCTTTTGGAGTATAGGCTAGACATCTCAATTGTTTTTTGACTTTTATAGCTCCCACCTGTAGTGTTTGCTCTATGATTCCATTATTCCTCAAGTTGACTTTATCCTGGCCTTGGTGAGAGGGGGGAGTGAAATTATGGGTGGAATGTCAAAAAGGAATAGGTTGTGTGAGATTACTTGTGGATTGAGGGCTTGGAGACACTAAAGACAAGAAAAAGACTGATAACCCATGCGGTGCTGTGTCACTTACCCACAATTCACAGGAGAACACAATCCAATGAGTCTGAAGGATGGGACATAAGGTGATAAGGTGGATGGAATGGTATGACATGACACATAACAATGAAGGAGGTTAGTACAGGGTAGTCCATTCACACAGTCACTTGCACGCACGCACGCACGCACGCACACACACACACACACACACACACTGACTGAATCAGTTACTGATTGTGAATGAATCAGTATCGGAGAGGTCTCCAATCACAGTGCAATTATCAACACTGAGATGAGATGAAGAGAGGTGAGTAATATAAATCAACCCAAGTCCATTATTCCATTCAGCTCAGAGCAGCCAAGAAGAACTAGTTCAGCCAATGGGACTCCAAGATCTGACACCAATGATAAACATCTCTGGCAGGTTTGTTAAACTGACCCATCTAGCGGAAATCGCTCAGCTCTGCCTCCAGGGCAAGATTCATGACACTTCGGCGTGTGCATGACTTTCTCCATTAGAATTGTCAGCAAACACTCTATTTCAATGATTTATTTTCCCTAACCGTGCACCTGTATGCAAAGCAGAAAAGTTAATTCATCGGCTGCAACAGGGGAAATGAAACTGATGAAACCCCAGCAGTAAACTTTAGTTCACACCTCTCAGGCACAGTCAATGACGTTGCTGCATCTCTCACCACGTTAAATTAAACATCTCTTTGTTAAGCGTTATTAGTTCTAGAGTATGAAGTGGATTGAAGAGGTTTGAGACATTTTTCACATGACCTTGTACTGATTGAGTTCTATTTTCCCCTTGAGTAGAAACTCCTGACTGTGAGTCTGTGACAGACTTTCAATTAACTTCTCAACCTCATCTCCTGTGGATGGATGGTCATGGGCTCAGCAGCGTTTTGCTCACCTCACATTGCAGGAATGGGACTCCTTGCTGAGCTTCTGAAACCAGGACTGCTGGGCCCAGCGGGTCTCTGCTCCCGTGACCACACCATCTTTATCCAGGTCCAAACCCATGAACACTGACCGCACATGGTCCCTCTCCTTAGCACTCAACAGCCGCACCAATGAGTTCTGGGAACAAGGGCATCCAGACGATGAGAGTTTGTGTGTGTGTGTGTGTGTGTGTGTTGGAGTGTGTGTATGCGTTTGTATGTGTCTATATGCACATGTGTGTCAATGTGTAACACACCACACTTGATTCCCACAGGCTTAGTGGGTTTTGATGGGTTCTGGTACCTCTGTGCGGAACTTCCTGAGCACTCCCAGGGACTCGTGGTAGAGGAAGTCAGACCACTCGATCTGGCCCCTCTTCTCTGGGTCCAGGGCAGCGAACTGGGCCAACACCTCCTCCTCCTGTTCATCAGACAGGTCCTTCTCAAACAGCTGCTTGGACACAAAGTGGCGGAACTGCAGCAGCTCATCCGACACCAGGCATGACTCTACACAGCAAGAGCAGTTCATCACAACACCCACAAATTACTCTCCACAAGCAGTGATCCAGATACAAATAGTTAATGAGTATTATTAATATCACAAAGTCGAGAACGCCTGTCGTTGATATCCCTTCACTTGAAACACATAATAGTGATATCACACATTACGATGGGAAACCAGGCTGAAATATAGAGTGCAGTTTTATAGCAACCTGTAACAGACAATTGCTGACAAATACATACAGTAACGGGTAGTTACCAATAATGACAGAGACATATTGATTAGTTACTATGAACATGTGCATTACAAAAACAGAGAGCTTTTGGCACCATTCTGTTCTCAGTAACCCTTTGCTTATGTGCTTAGAGGGTTGGTTCAGAGATGCTTGAAGTGTATGAAAACAACCCTGTATACACAATGTACTGGGGGTATTGATCTATTAATCACTGTCTACAGTTCTATACCCAATAAAGCCTACTTGTCCCAGATAATGCAGATCTGTCAGCTGTGCTTTCTAGAGGTGCAGCACCACCATGACATTATGACTGACCAGGGATGATCTTGCACTGCTTGAAGGTTTCCATCAGGCTGTACATCTCCTCTTCAGTCAGGAGCAGGTTCACGTTGTCCTATGGGAAAAAGGAGGGAAGGTCACTGTTAATGGGGAGAGATCTGATACAAACTCACGTCTGCTAAATGGCATATTATTATTATTATAGTCAAGTAGGGGGCAGCACAAAGTGTGCCCCGCTGCACTCATATGCACTATAATGGAGCATACCCTAATGGATTCATGTGCAGTGTGTCCATATTCAGTTCAGCGTGCGTCAGACATGATCCAGAATGCCCTGGTGTGCTTATTATGCAAGCTATTCTTATAATCAAGTGTGTCAAGTATGTACTAGATGGTTTGTAGTATCGTTTCTTAGAAACTGTCATGGAATAAACGACCATGGTAATAGGAAAATATAAGCCTGGCAGCCATTTTACTCCAGAAAGGTGTTGGCACTAAAAACTTGGCGAGGGTGCAGTTCAGGTCGAACACACATTAAAACTTCCATTTAGTGAATTATCTGCAGCAGGTGTGTGGAGGATGCAGAGTCTTTCTACGCTGTCTATCTCTGATGAGCAGGTTGAGAGGAGGGAGTTGGAGGATGAGGATGACAGACGGTAATAATTGGGGTGGATAATTGACCATGATGTGTGAAATCTCTGGATAGCCCAGGGTTATGGAGATCAGACCGTTTGATTTTCCATTAGCATCACCCCCCAAAATATATGTTGATTAAAGATTTTACGCACTAATATGGAGCTCAAAACAGGATATGGAGTCCAAAGCTAGGGCTTTGTGTGTGCTCTTTGCATTCTTGCTAGCCCCTTTAAGGAATCAAATAAACAATAGCTCCAGGAAAGACAGGCGTACCCCTTAAAGAGTTTATTCATCACATGTATGCTAAAGAGTCCAAACTGCCTGCCAGATATCATAAAATAAACTCTTCCTCTGTGCCACTGATTTGGAACTGTGGTGCTGGAGGGGGTGTCAGAACAGGAGCACAGCAAAAGAGGAGGGGTGCAGGAGTGGTGAATCAAATCTGGGGGCTGCTGGAAATGGCCTGCTGGGTGACATTTGTACTTTTCCAGGATTGCGTAAACACACTGCGTTCAATACGGGTCTACAAATAATCCCATAATTGTGAGTGCATTGATCAGCCTGCATGGGGAGGCAGTTTCCTGGACCACTGGCTGGCTGTGTACCATACTCACTCACTCACTGTCATTCAATATCCACGGTGCTCAATCTCCTCAGCACCGGGAGACTGCTGACTTCATGTTTGAAAGAGAGAAAGCTTTTCTGTATCTGATTCTGTACGTAGTGGGATGTGTTGAACTGGGTGTCTAATTAAACACCACAACCCACTTTATTGGCTATTGTATGTGTTTGTTTATTCTCTGGCAGGTTTGTTAAACTATTGCTCAAGATCAGTTCATAATCCCATTTGAAATCCTCAGGGAGCATAACTAAGCATAAGTGTCAACAATAGTAATCAATTGGATGACCTGCCCTAGATCTTTCCGATTTACATTTTAATCTCCAGAGTAATGCTTAAAGTTTTTTTGAATGTATTTGTTCATCCACAATCCAAACAAGTTGAAAAAGGTTACTCTATCCTGAGCACTTTCATAGATGAAAAGTTGTATTTTTCTCACTGTCACTTTGATCCTCTTCCACTATCACTGTTCTCTTCACTTTCTCCCTCGCACCCATACTGATTGTGGGCCAGCGAGGAACAAGTCAATTGGCCCTTTCGATGTCCCTTCTCAAACTGTCTAAAAACGGCCTCTTTTGTACTCAACAAAGTCTGTCAATAGGCTTCAACTCTCACAGTCTGCAAACATACAGGTGTAGGATCCTAATTTGAGCCAGTTCGCTACAGCAGGAAAAGAATCTGCCAGCAACAGGAAATGTTAATTATTATGTGGATTATAATTAGTGGACATTTTTGTAGGAGTTGATTACATTTTGCATGAGGGAAAATGAAGTCTGAAATTCCAAGTGGAAATTCCAAACTTCAGAAGCCTTTTTAATTCTCAAATACACTACAAGAAAGTTATCCTGCAACATGGGGGATCAAATTAAGATCCTACATCTGTAAGAGAAGCCCTCTACTTTAGTCTGAAGAGCACTTTAGGAAATGTACCCTTATGCCGTCTGTACTTTAGTTTTACCATATTGCACATTGCTTCTCCAAAGATCAGTGGAGGGCCCTTCATGTTGAAGACAAGCTATTGAATTCATTATGAGATTAAGAATCTTGGCACACATTCAACATTGCCTCCAAAAGATGTATTACTGCCTTTTTATAAACATACACTAGGGAAAGAGGATCTGGCTGGAAGTATCTTAAAAGAATACACACAATGCAGAAGCACACTGCACAGATGTGTGTGTGGGTGCAAGGTGTGTTCCGGTTCATAAAGTGTGTGTTGTTTATAGCAACAGTAGTGGGCATGCTTGATACAAAGGTGAAAAAACGGTCTTTGTGGAGTGTGGTTGGTCTGTGTGAATAGCCAATGGGAGGTGCGTATTGACTGAGTGACTGACGCAGTAGTAGCAGCTCCAGCCTGTCGCGGTGTGTGCTGTCTCCCTCATCTCCTGCAGGAGTTCGGTGCGCAGGTATCCCATTTCACTCAGGCAGCCATCATGGAAGACCCGTGTGCAGGTCCTGCAGGGGAACAGGTCGTCGGCCGTCCACACCTCACACACCTCACACATCTCATCGTTCACCGGCTGGGGAAAAGGCAAATCAGGTCAATGGGTTAAAGACCATACTCCTAATGCATGAGGTGGGAGTTGAATCCTATGTAGGAGACTTGTCAGTTGTGTTCCAAATCCACTACCTGAAAGATCCATCTACTGTATATGTCTGAGAAGCATATGAAGTCACTGATTTATCCAAATGACTAAGTAGTATGGGCTGAAAAGAGGATCTTGACCCTATAACGGTAAATTACTATCTACTACCCCAGAGTCAGATGAACTCGTGGATACCATTTTTATGTCTCTGCGTGCAGTTTGAAGGAAGTTGCTAACTAGCGCTAGCATGCTAGCAGATAAGACTTCCATAGACTTCCAGTTATTGCGCTAACGCTACTTAGCATTGGCTTGCGAAACTACCTCTAACTTCCTTCATGTTGGACACAGAGACATAAAAATGGTATCCACACGGGAAGTAGGTAAAGGGCTTCATTGCCAAAATCCCGAAGTATCCATTTAACATATTTTCATAATCAAACTTTTATACCCACTCCATTAAGCTTCTCCATTAGGGTTTAAATATAGAAATAATCCCCTGTGACACTCAGCTCTCTCTCACAAAGACTGTCAGAAAGAACAGCTTTGAATCACATGGCACCATGTTGAAGGCTAGCTGTCCTCTCCTGAATGTTACAGTCTAGACAGGGTATTGGATTCATCAAATAGCGAATGCAAATAATTTTTTGTCAGTCTGCTGATTACGCCATACACTCAAACAAATATGATTCAAGTTCGGATTCAATTCTTAGACAGCACTGTTTTCTTTCATAGAAACTTAAGTATCATTTTAGAGTTATCAGTTTAGTGTCTCTCTTCTCCTCTGATTTCAGGTCCATCCCTCAGGACTCCATTTACAGGCAGAACACGTCTGACTGTCTACACAGTCAAAATTATTATAGTGGGAACTTTAACTATAGCGCAGTCAGTCAGACTAAATTCACTCTCTTAGTATTAACCTCTAATACTGCTTTGACCTCAGGATGATAAACAGTACTATCTTCACAGTCATCTGGACTGACCTTGTCAAACCTGGTCCCTTACAGGTGACCATAGCCAGAAGGAATCATACCCCATACTCAATACTCAAACCTATTCCTAGAGACATAGCGGTCTATACTCTCATCACACTATGAAACAGATGTAACTCAACAATATTTTCTAGCTGTCTTGTCTGGTATCATTATGTGTGAATCATCCTGTGTGAGGATTCTAATTACAGTTATTCTGTAGAGAGCCTGATAGGAAAGGAGAAGTTTCTCTATTGATTTTACCCAATCATGAAGGAGGCTGAACTTGCCTGCCAATATCATAATTATATCTGGTTCCACCAAGACTTTGAGTACCTCCTTGATAACTAATATACGAAAAACACAGCACTGCTAATTTTCCTCTCTTATGTGAAGTATCCTACAGGTCCAAATATAAACAATTTAATTTAGGGCTGATATCTGTTATCTATTATATTTTGTAACAAGTGTTATGTTAATCTTTATAACTACAGCGACTAAAATGACTGCAAAACTCAAAGAGCTGCAGTTAGTTTAAGAATGGATGGCAAGGAATAACTTAGTCCTAAATATTTCTAAAACTAAAATCATTGTATTTGGGACAAATCGTTCACTAAACCCTAAACCTCAACTAATTATTGTATTGAATAATGTGGAAATTGAGCAAGTTGAGGTGACTAAACTGCTTGGAGTAACCCTGGATTGTAAACTGTCATGGTCAAAACATATTGATACAACAGTAGCTAAAATGGCGAGAAGTCCATAATAAAGTGTTGCTCTGGCTTTTTAACAACACTATCAACAAGGCAGGTCCTACTGGCCCTAGTTTTGTCGCACCTGGACTACTGTTCAGTCGTGTGGTCAGGTGCCACAAAGAGGCACTCAGGAAATTTACAATTGGCTCAGAACAGGGCAACACGGCTGGCCCTTAAATGTACACGAAGAGCTAACATTAATGATATGCATGTCAGTCTCTCATGGCTCAAAGTGGAGGAGAGATTGACTTCATCACTACTTGTTTTTGTAAGAAGTGTTGACATGCTGAATGCACCAAGCTGTCTGTTTAAACTACTAGCACACAGCTCGGACACCCATGCATACCCCACAAGACATGCCACCAGAGGTCTCTTCACAATCCCCAAGTCCTGAACAGACTATGGGAGGCGCACAGTACTACATAGAGCCATGACTACATGGAACTCTATTCCACATCAGGTAACTGGTGCAAGCAGTAGAATCAGATTTAAAAAACAGATAAAAAATACACCTTATGGAACAGCGGGGACTGTGAAGAGACACACATAAAGGTATAAAAACACGCACACACACAAGCGCTAGCACACGTACTCGACACACATGTACATTGTAATGTTGTTGTGTGCTGGTATTATACATTTTGCATTGTAGATATGTAGTGGTGTAATAATGTTATATGATGTACTGTTTTATCTTTTGTTTTATATGTAATGTAAGTGCCTTAATGTGTTTGGACTCCAGGAAGAGTAGCTGCTGCCTTGGCAGGAACTAGTAGGGATCCTTAATAAATACAAATATAAATACAAATAACAATATTCTGTTGCTGCTACAGTATGGCCATCCGTTTCAGTCAGGTTTTAATATACATGTATTGTTCTGCTCCTCACTAGACTGTCCCTGCAGCTGTAACATATTATTGCTTATTACTGCAAATAGTCCACTCTCTGTTCTACTTTAGAGTGCACCATTAGAGTGATATAAAGCATAAAAACAATCACAATCCTCTCTGAGAGTCCTATTATAAAGGTGTGCTCTTCCTAACAGCCACAACCGGCTGATTGGTCATCTGGTCCAGTCCTGAACCCCATCCCCGTCTCTGACCACCTCAGGACCACTATTAGTCATGGTGACCCTGGGATGTGAGGCTGAGGCCAAGGCCTCCTCACTGAGACAGCCTGAGTACCTGCCCACACAACAGCACGCTCTCTATGATGAGCACTTAGACGCCAACACAAAGGCTCTACCGTGGAGTAGAGTGAAAATAGCTGGTGTGACAAAAGCATATATATTTTTTCAAACACACATTATCTCACCTATGGGGGGGAAATGCTAAAGACTCAGCATACTTAACAGATGTTTAGGTCTCTTTTCAGTCTAAACATCCTAACTCAACTGGAGTTCACGGGAGATAAGACTACTGTTGCCATGGTAATTCCTTCAAAATCTCACATGCATCTTCAAAATTTGGGGGTTTAGAGAACAAAGTAAACCCTTTATTGTAAAGTACCCCACACTACCTTACCTGCTCTCTCTGTCCCAGTGCTATCTCCATAGGCTGGTCATCGTTGGCATCTCTCTTGGGACGTACAAAGGCAGGTGGGGTGAGCTGATGGCCGGTCTTGTCCAGATCCTCAGGCTCCACCCCCTTTCCATCCCGTAACCTATTCCAGGCCTCCTGGTTGACCTTACACTCGTCCCTGGTCGGGGCCGGGGCCGGCGCTGCAGCCTGCTGGGAGGTCCCTGAGGGCCCCGCTTTGCTGTCTGCCTCCCCGTGCTCTGCCTCCTCCTTTTCCTCCGGGTTGGGTGGTGGCGAGGCTTCAGTCGGCCCCTCTCTTCCCTCTCCGGATCCTTCCCCCTGGTTTGTTGTGGATGGGGCGCGTTCCTTTAACCCCTGCTGAAAGGCGGAGACGACCGAGGTGCATTTCTGCACCTTCTCCACCTGATGCTTCTTAGACATGAGCACTCCCATGACTACGCAGTGAGAGAAAGAGAGAGGGAGAGGGAGAGTTAATTTTCACTTTTGTTTATTATCTATTTCACTTGCTTTGGCAATGTAAACATATGTTTCCCATGCCAATAAAGCCCCTTAAATTGAAATTGAAATGAGAGAGAGAGTAGAATAGATGTTGAATTGACGTCTGTGCCCAGTGGGATCATGATCTATCATCAGACTGAGCTCAGCCATTCCTGGTCCTGGATTGCTGCCATTACTGTTCATCAATCACATTAAATTACTTTAGATCGGAGCATTAAACATAAATCAACAAATAAAATGGATGGGAAGAGTAGAACAAAACACAGTAATCTTTAGTGCCTCCTGTAACAAACAACGAACTACTTTGGCTCATTCCACTCAGCTCATTCGAGACCATGAATTCCGTTATTGAAAAGGGGGCTGTTGGGGATTCAAGTTGATTACACGGTACTTAGACGACATGTGTCGCGATCTGAAATGCAATCTCATCCAGCCACGCTCCAAATAAGTGGTTGTGTGAAATCCAATCCCATTTATCTAGAGTACCATCGAAGTGCTTCCCTGCCTCTGTCCTTTCCTCTCATTCTCAGGTAGATGTAATATGACTACAGTTTGGAGGCTTCTGTGCATGGGCCTGCTTGGTATACTGTTTCATCTTGCTCTATGACAGCTTTGGAGGATAGGACACTCTTCCCAAACACCCATCGGCCTTTACTGCCTTTACTGATACAGCCTCTTTCTGTGGACCTCCTGTTACTAGCAGCTCAGACAGACGGGTGGGCGGACAGTCAGACAGACAGACAGACAGGGAGCAGGGGGACATGATGTGAACACAAGCTCATCAAAGTCCTCCGAGTGCCAGGAGGAGATGATTATATGCTGGTGTAATTCATCTCAGCCAGTGATGTGTCCATCCTTCTCCCTCCTCCAGCTCAGAGTGAGGTGATGGGGGATGGGTGACACATCAGACAGACAGACACAGTAATGAGGCTCTATGATAGACTATATAGCTCACAGGGCATCCGAGGAGAACCACCTGAAGGCTACAGTCAGGCTCTACTAGAGGCCATCCCTGACTGACCAGACCTGGCACACACGCACTCCCATCCTGACTTAAAGAGCCTGGCACCCCCTGATAGACATTATCCGCCTCCACTGCTCACAGAGAGACCTCACCGTTTTGAGGTTAACTTATGAATTTTAAATGAGGGCCTTATTTATTTTTCTTCTGTGGGCAAGTCAAAGCTGACACATGTGGGTCAGTGCTTTGTACCTTGATGTAATAAAGGTAATTTAGAAATCTGCCACTGGTTATCTAGCAGGTCGGTTAACCCAAAGCTTTTGCCATGAAACTGTCTAAAATGCTTAACATTTGAACCCAGCATGCTCAACATTTACAACATGACTGGTAAAAAAATAATATACTTCCCCTCACACTTGACTGGTGTTTTCGTAAGAGTGTCTTACACTAATCTTACCTCAGGAGACACTCAGAATGTGAAGCCTACACTCCAGAATTCATAGTAGTGAAAACTGCATTTATTTACAAACGGGGCTAAAGACTTAAGATGTCTATAAGATGGCAACAACCTTTATCTTTTGGCCCACATACTACAACTCAGGCTAAATCCAGAGAAAAGTGCAGGGGAGGAGTGCTGTGGTTCCCTCCGGCTAAATCCAGAGAAAAGTGCAGGGGAGGAGTGCTGTGGTTCCCTCAGGCTGTGTGTTCACTAGTTTCCTACAGGAGCAGCTGCCTGTGCTGCTCTGCACAGAAGGTCAGACCACTCTAAATTATAAAAATAAGAAGGGGATGGGGAGGAAAACATGGCCACTCCTTGGGACAGGACCTGATGCATGGCAGAGAGAGAATCCCATTCTGAACGAGCTGCACCGCGACAGTCTGAATATTCTCCCACTAGGTCTCGAGATACTGTTTGGGCGGCATTCTAGACACTTTTATGGGCACTTGTATCTTTCATATTGTTGCATATAACAAGACTCGTAAAGCCTATGGCGAACTGGGTACATAGTGTAACAGCAGGAATAATGATTGTGCAGTGTTTTTGGCAGAGAAACAGCATATAGAATTTGCACAAGCTAAAGAAGAGCACTTTAACATGCAGTGATAATGTCTGAAAGTATTTGTGTTGCCTATAGAAACATCTAAACCAGTTTGATTAGCTTGTCAGCTTTAATAAAGACCTCTGGGTTTGCGCTATGAAGCAAGGCACCCAATGGTGGTGAACAGGATGGCGGGAACTCACTGCACTGTCTTGGTGTAATGAAATATAGATCATTTTGTAGGAAGACACTATGGTGCTCTTTAAATCCCTCTGATCTAGCTCTCGCTCCCAGTAATCCTGTTTGTAGGCTGTCTACACTCCACTGGTCAGACATGATTTATCAGCCAGCCCTGCTCAGATCCCACTTAAGGGAAGCGATACAATAAACAGTACCATCATTCACCAACACAAAACCGTGCTCTGATGAAAGCCAGTCAATTTGATTTGACATTTATTTTGTACGTTTCATGCATAATACCAAAAGGAATCCTTGGGTGTAATAGAGAATCTATTTTTGTCCCACAGAGACAACATTTTGGCTAAGGCAGAGCGTATGCCAAACAGGACATTAATCTTGGGTTGGAATGAGAATGGGTTGGCTCCTGTGAGCCTTGTAAAACAGTGTATTAGGGGCTGATTAGGACACCTTGGTTCCCCATTAGTATTCCGTCAGACACCTCCTCTGCACGGGTGTCACTGTGGAATGTCATCCAAGTTAAGCTCCTACAATAGCAATCTTTTATCCTGCATTATACAAACTGGTGGATTTAACAGAATCGGTTTAATCTAGACTATTTGTACAGGCTTTTCCCAACAGACAGGCTTATTATCATAAAGAACAGATATAGTTTCTGTAATGAATCAAGTTTGACAGTAGGGGTTGAGGTGCTGGGTCTGACTACAGAGTTGGTTGTCCATGTGACTGTAGTGACATGTTTTTCTTCACAGGTCCATTCTGGGTATGTGCTGATTAGAATCCCAACCAGTCCTCCTTTTCATGCCGGGATTGTGGGAGGAGATTCTGTGAATGGGGGCGCAACATAGCATTCCTGTTCATGGGAATGAATCCCATTTAGCCAAGGATCTCATCCACGGACCCGCAGAGCAAAGACCTGTAACTAATTACACTAACGAGTTCAACCAGGCCGGGCCTTCCCCAGTGAGAAGAATCATAAACGAAAATACAAGCACACACAAAACAACCACACACACACACACAAAACAACCACACACACACAAAATAACCACACACACACACACACACTGGTAAACATACACTCTGGTACACCGAGAACACCTTTTTCCTTCACTGTCCCAGAACCGAACAAAGACACCATGGAGTGGGGGGGCTGACAACTGGAGGTTGTCCCAAAAAAACAAATGGGGAGTTGAAATTCTGTTTATGTGCCGTCCATGGTGCACGGAAGAGCCTGGAAGTGGAGGAATGTAAATCTAAATGCACCCTTAGAGAGGAGTCCCCATGTTGGCATTCACAGGTTGCCAGGCAAACAGAGAGGATGTGCCAGTGCCAGCCAATATACCGAGGCTGAGAGTAGCTGACAATGGGCTACTATCAGCCCCCCCCCCCCCCCCCCCCCCCCCCCATTAATTGAAGTGGCGACGCCAACAAGAGGAATATTATGCACGAAATGATCAAACGCGGCTAGGATCCACACCCGTTTGAGTGCTGACCTTGATCGGCTGCAAAACGGCCTGTAGCCTAGCCTACATTACACACCCACAAACTGGTAGCACATAAAGAGATGCGTGGACTTCATGACACCAGCTCACTAAATCCCGCCTATGAATGTTTACTTTAAAACACAGGCATCAACCATTGTCAGATGAATCAAAATGCTATAGCTGCTGCAATCACCCCAGATTCGATTCGAGCCTTGTCATCCTTGATGCATCAATCAAAAACTCATTGGAAATGCAACTGTGAAATGTTGTGTTATGGAACAATTTTTCTGTTAGTCTCTATGTCATATTGAAAATATAAATAAACGGAATTTACCTGAGATAAAATAGACAACTCTCCAGACTTCCTTTTTTCTTGTCTCACGCACGGCTACCCAGCATTTCAAGGCTTCGATTGAATGAAAAGTAGGCGATATGCGCGTTTAGCTTACTCGTGTTTCTTTACCACAAAGCGTTGAATGGTATTTTACTGTATGCGTGACACTCACTCAAATATCCTCACTCACAAATCTATACTGCGAATGTGATCTAAATAACCTATAGCCTACGTGAAAAGAGTGATACGAGTCCGTTAAAAAGCTTGCGTGGACAGCTCCAGTGCTGAAATGTATTTCTTGCCACTTGCGCGTGTGGAGAGCTACAGTGCAACTCCGTTGAAAATGAAGCCGTATGCACAACACAGTTAGACCGAAACAAAAGTTGAACCATGAAGCAAGTGCTAATCACTAATCGAACCCACACCAACAACGAGCCTTGCTAGTCAATCGAAAGCATTGAGGAACTAGATAACTTGTAGGCTACTCAATCTAAAATGTTACCTTCTTGATTGGTCGGGGACCAGATAAAAAAAGACGTTTGTGCCAGAATACACTAATAACCAATAACCTCCCAGAAAGGTGGAAACGTCATATAAGGGAGTGTTGAGGCTTTTACATCCCCACTCAATGCTCTCATGAATCAATATCATCAACTCAGACAACATCATGATGCAAACTAGAGATCTAATGGAAGCCTATAGTAAAATTGAAGTTCAGGCATCTTCCAAATGCATTGAAAATGATACTTTGACATATTAAATTACGGTATTGCACATTTAAGAGAGAGGTGAGAGAGGCGATGAAAAATAAACGGGAATATGGCATATCATCATATCTAATTCGATTTTGCCTGCTAAACTTTACAAACATTGACATTACAAACATTGACTTTACAAACATTGCCCTTTCTACA